CTCTTGTAACAATTGGCTTCATGAATTCCACAACTCCTGTAAAATTTACATAACTACTGTAAATGTAAACAAAGGTATATTGGTCAATAAATTGATTTTCTATTCATGTATTTGATTTTTTTGTAAAGTAAATTGGAATCCTACTGCATGACACTGTAGTTACTAAGGTGATTTTCATCTATTTTGTTAAAAATATATTAAACGACATACAATTCTTATGATTTAAATATAAGAAATTACTATAATTATATTAATTAAAAGGTATTAGAAAATAAGCAAAAGTCTCCTTTGAAAATGTTGCAAAATGAGACCTTTAAACACATTTTCAGGCATTGTGAATGTTTCCAAACACTAATTTGAATGGTGCATACTTGCAAGACAGGTTATTAAAAGCTAACTTACATTTACTTCTCTATTAATAAATCTTGTAAACTTAGCACAATGTTATTCTGTTAATGCCCAATGACTTCAAATGTATGAAAATATTTAAGTTTTTTATTATGAATTTGTTTGACAATGACATGTTTTAATAGCTAGGACTTAAAAATTAAGATTATTTTTCGAAAAAATATCACGAGAAGGACAGGTCTGACCCAGTGATTAGTTTACTTTAAACTTTGTACCGTCATTAAAGATTGAAAGTCTTAATATTCACACGTTACCAACAATCTCTGTTCTTTGCTACTATTGTCTTATTTCAATTTGCTTTACACTTTGCTGGCTCCAGCAAAAGTATGTTCCCAGGTTGTCCTTATCATTTTGAACTACAATAGCAAAGTCATTCAAAAACTTATTTACTTTGTATTCTAATAAGCATGTCTTCAAGTATTCATCTGAAATACATTGTCACTACTTCAGGGAATCTTTTTGAATAATTTTCATAAATGTTACTAAAATAAAATCATAGTATCTGTAAATTGAAAAAATATTTCCTTCATCTCTTTATTTTCCTCTACAGCTCTTCTTGTTCTAGAACTATTTGGTAGAAATTTTGGTCCTTTGTTGATATATTCTAAGTTTCCATTTCATAATAACAGTCTACATTGTCTTCAAGAGGTTGGCTAACAGGGAAATATTTACAATATATTATTTTATTTACTATTATCATGCATTTCCTCATCTCTTTTAATTTCAAAAAATAGTTAAAACTGTGTGTGACTTACTTCAGTAGTGCCAACACTCTCTCCAATAGACAGCATTGGTATTGGTGCAATCTGTGCTAGTTATTTTCAGTTCTGGAATATTTACTCTAGTTCCAATAGTAGAATTATAAGCATAGTTTGCAAAGAACGTTTTTGCCAATATTTGATGATGAAGTATTATTTGCTGCAACATAATAAAAACTATTTGTATTGGCAAATGAACAATACATTTTGGTTCTTATTCCTTATTATGCCCAATAAGAAGGAATTAACTCAAGAACATGGAGAACAATTATTTGTTTAACTGTACTCCCCCTAACATCCATTCCACTGAGCTCAAGAAAAAGCAAATAGAGTAACTAAAATTAGAAGCAAAACAAGGGGCCATCTCAACATTTGATCATTGGATCAAGGGAAACTGAATGAAAAACACAATCGAGATAGGGGTTGTACCAAGATGGTGAAGTGCAGTACTTGTTAAAGGCATGTTAAGTCTTTTAGAATTATACTGTACAAATGGTAATTAATGCATTTGCAATATTAATAAAATAATTTTTTTTTCTTTTGCTCGCTATAATCTATTATATCTCTGTATAATCTACCTATTGTAGACACAACCTTGCAGCAAAAAAGATTTTACTTGTAGTTCCTGTACTCAGGAACCTGTACTAATAGTTACCTCTACTTATAGTTAGATTTTACTTGTAATTATTAATCTTGTGTATTGATTTTGATTGTTAATTGTTATGGGGCAATTTGTTGTAAAATATTGTACAGTGAAACCTCTCAACAAGACCATCTCTTTAAGACCTTTTTGAGACCAGCTTTCTATAGAATGGAATAATTATTCCATAAGATCAATTTACTCCCATACAGATGACCACCTCTCTTATCATTTAGCAGTTGAATTTTTGTTTTAATGTAAAATTTCATTCCCTTTAAGATGATCAGAAACCCTTGCAATGAAATAATAAACCAAGATTTTGTATACTACTGAAAGGCAAGCCAGCGTCTTTCAGATAAGCAATAGCGGTGGAGTGCATGAGATTTCACAATAACTCTGAAAGGGAAACCTTCCAGGAAATGTCAAGAAACTATCACTCTATGAAGTGGTAAGATTATTTATCACAAGCAAAATAATACCCCTGGATTACAATAATCAAAAGACCCCCTAATGTCAATAATGCATTATCTGAAGTAGGACAAATTCCTAAAGTACACTGGAGAATTCTTTTTTGTAATCATACTAATTAATAAATACAGTGGTTCAAAGTAATTAAATTATGGAATATGATAAAGCTTTCATTTGAAATCAGAATAGTGTTACAATATGAATTTCATACAATTCTTTTCTGAAATCTTAAAGAGTCTGGAATCTATAGGTGCTTCCCCAGAATATTATGCCAGGAGGGAATGAACATTCACAAAATATACACAAGGAGCTGCATGAAGGTTGAATTTGAAAGAATTCTGAATGCATAGCATATTAAATTGAATTTTGCAATCAGTTCATTTAACTGGAAATTCTATTTGAGGTTTCACTGAAATGAGAAGCATAAAAGTGTTGTCACCTTGCGATCACAAAATTATACATTTGCATATACATAATTGATTTATACTCAATTTTTTTTATTGCAAATGGAAAACTGCATTCAAACAATTTTTCCTTTATTTATAATTGATTTCCAATTATAAAACCAATTTGAAACATCTGATATTGTATTATTTACTGTTTGTTTTTTAATTGCAAAGAATATTCATTTCATCAGCAAAAAGAACTGTCCTGTTTTGAATTATTGACAAGGGCCTATCATTTACAGATAGAAGGAAGAGGAGAGGACCTAAACTTGAACCTTACATGTGCAATTAGTAATGAAGCAGAAAGCTGAGTAAGTAACGGCTCTTCATTCCATTATATTTTTTTTTCTATTTTGGGATATTGTTGCTGAAAGGTAGGAAATGTACAATGTAGAGCAATACTATGAATTCCTTAAGAAGGAATGTTTGATAGCAAAATGTTATGATCAATCGTTTTAAAAGATCTAAAAAATCCCAATAATGCTTTATTTTGATCCATTGACAAAGAAACATCTTTAAGAAAAGAAAATAAGTTTTTCTTAGTTATAACATTTTTTTCCATATGTACTGTCTTAGATGATTGAAATAACTCTCCTAGCAGCTTTTCAATCCCTCCACCTCTGTACTTTGATTTTTTATTATCTTCTTTGTATTATTGTAGTCTGATATACCCTATTGATTGATATTTTGTCAGTGCCTGTCACTGTTAATTCTCTTCTTTCTGATTTATGTTGAGAATCTAGTACCCTTGTAACAAAAGTTTCATTTATTACTCCATGAATTCAAATTATTTATAACAATGATCATAAAATTCAATAATATGTGCATTGGCATAAAATATAGTTTCCTAGAACCATGAGACATTGGATACGAATTTTGATTTAGATGTCTTGTGAGCAGGACTCATTAGGTTTGATGAAGGTAAAAGTAATTAGTCAAATAGTCAGTTTCAGTTGTCCAATAACAGTGAGTAATGAGAAAATGTAAGTTACTGTAGTGTTTATATGAAGTTTCTGTTTATTGAATTTTTTATACAAGTAATACTATTTATTGAAAAAAAATAGTTTTTATGACTATATTAATTCTAACATTTCTGAACATCACTCCCAAATGATAAGTTTTTCAAAATTATAAAGGTTTATTTAACACATACAAAAATATTATTTTTCATATATGGGCAATGGGAGTGGTAGTTTCGAAACCTCTCTACTTCTTTATGATATTTAGTTATCGGTACTTTATTGAAAATTCAAATTAAAGTTAATGATAAAGCCAGCAATCTTCAATGATAGGTTGTTTCAAAGCTAACAATTTTCTAAAATATCTATTATAAAAACAAAACTGTTACCTCTCATGAAGTTGTACTATTATTATGCAACACCAAATAATAATTGATCAATATATACTACATTGCAAATGAAATGTAATTTCTAAATTTAGATGTGCTGTTTGGAAACCAGATTGATTATCTCCATATTTATTAACAAAAAAAAAAAAAAAAATCGATAAGACATCATAAAATTTAAACGGCAATTTTCTAGGAAAAGTTAAACCTGCCGAATGAGGAATATACTGGACAGCTTCATTATTTCTGGTAGATATGAAAGAATTTTCATTCAGTTTACAGCTATCCCATTTTGTCTTGTGGATAACAACATCCTCCTAGGTTATAAATCACAACAGAATTCATGGATTTGTAATAGGACATAACTTTTTTGACACTAATGTATGAATCATGAACCAAATAGCTGTGCCTAGGTAACAAGTTCAAGTCAATTATTTCAGCTTTTAAGAAAATTTTACAAAGGATTCTGAATCAACTTCGCCAATCTCAAGTCTTGCTGCTTCTATAAACGGTAAATGTTTGGTTTTGAAATGCAAAGCGGATAATTTAAATAGAGTTGGATATACATTCCTCTGAAAATTACTAAAAAGGATTCTGAGATCAAGTAAAGTGCTACAGATACAGGATTAATTACAAATTATGGAAATGTCAAAGAAGCTGCTTTTGCGAGCTTGTAGATCATCTTAGTAGGAAAATTGTGAACATCAGAGTTAAACAACAAAAATACACTAGTTTAATTTGTCTGAAAAGTATGTCATAGGTATTTCATAGATAAATGGAAAGCATTTCCATTTACCTATGAAATTCTGTGACTACTGAATGATAACATAATGTTAAATGGGAGTTTTATGACATGAGCATGGTGCAGTTATTAATAAAACACTATTCATACTTTAAACAAACATCTACTGTATTTTTTACATTTTTACATCGTATGTATATAAATATAACATATTAAAATACTGCATGGTATTTACAGGCACACGATAAAATATTCTCTTCTATTACATCCATAGTAATAATTAAAATATACAAACATCAACACAAGTATAATAACAAGACTACGTGGTAAATAAGGCACATTGTACTGTTAGTAAATAATTTTGATTTGTATTACAAAATGAAAGAGTAGAATTTCAAATTCAATCAAAATTTAGTCAATGAAACAGTATGTTGCATATAATGACTAGCTAAGAATCATTCATATATGGCCTTTAGATTATGTCTCAGACATACATATAGATAAATGACCCAATAAAGATATGAAGAAAAAACACAATATAAATTATATATCTATAGTGTAACAATAAACACAACCTCATCTTTTTTCCGTTCCTAAACATACATCTTCTGTTATTCAGTTTCCATAACACTATAAAAATGATATTATTTGTGTCTTTCTTCTAGCTACAACAGGAACACATAAGTGATAATTAAGATAAGTAATGCCTCAACAAGAGACCTCTTCAATTTGTTGAAACAGCCTTGTACAATAGGAACAAAGAAAACCACAAAATATCTCTCAGTAAATTTGAAATATTTTGGAAGAAAAAAGATATCAACAATATTTCCTTTGAATGAGGTCATAATATTTTTCATATTTGTAAATTTTGAATTCTAAAATGAGTATTAAATTAAAATTTACAATTTTTAACTTAAAAAATCTAGTTAACTACTTTAAATCTGCAATGATAAAAAAACTTAGTTACAGTACATATCACAAACGATCCATAAACCTATTACTCTATCACTTACAGCAATGGCTGTCTCTTAAAAGTTCTTAACTGAACTCATGAAAGTACTAATAATGTAATGCACCTACCATCAATTCAAATTATTTAGTACAGTCAAAAAGATTGAGTTTAATGTAGAACTCCTCAATATAAAGTTTCAATAGAAAATTTCATAACAACATCCGAAGTCAACACAAAATATGAGCTCAATATGGGCAAATGGAAATGTTTCACTTCATATACTTTTTTTCAAAATAATTGTAAGAAATTAACAAAACATCATAACGGTCAAGTATATCAAACTTATATACTTCCCTATAACTTTGTAGTTTTCATGACCTTGTGTATAAATAACATCATTTCTGTAAGCAAAATACCCAGCTCGATATCCAGCATTTCTACATCCAAGCTCAATATTTGAAAATATGTTCTCTTCTGGGGCTGCTGTTGGAAGGAAAAGGTTTTCTCTATCACAGTCAAGCTTTCATAATGAAACCACTCTCAGTTTCAATCAAAATTTTATCAGGAAATGAGGATATTTCAATTTTTTTTCGGAGCTACTTAATACACGACTGGATATATTCGAGCATTAGCATTTGGACTCAGATTCACACACTCATCATACAGGGAGGCCATTTACTGATCTTTTCCATCAGTCACATTGCATGCTATTAAAATGCAAAATCTTGTAGAATGAGTTGGAAGGGTACTTCTAAATACATTTTCTCATCAAGTAGTGAGGTAATAGCACTGAATAATTAACCATCAGTCAAAAAAAAAAAGTAATGAAAGTTGATTATCAGTTGTAATTAAATATTTATATAATATTTTTTCTTTGACATAGAAGTTTGGTAGATTCATTCTTACCAATATTTATGGAACAGAAAAAATTAAATATCTTTTTATTTCTTATTGCCATGGAATTCTTGATTTCAACTAATCAACTTTGAACTTTTAAGTTCTATTCAGCAATGCTAGGTCATATGCCTGACAAATGAGCTATTCTAAATGCATGCACTGATATTATACAAGATAGCTGTCACTAAGTATCTTCATCAGAATTAATACATGATTTAGAATGTTAAAGAGGAATTGTTGAAATATAAAAGAACTCTTTAAAAGTTTTTCACCTCACAAACTTTCGTAATGATTGCACATATTTCTATTCCATTAAAGTACACTTTAGTGCAATACACTGTAGCATTAAAGGGGTGAATTATTCAAATATTGATTTGTATTTAATTTGTCATGAAAATGCATAAACTTACTATGAACAATAATTCTCTAAAATTAGTAAGTCAACCTCTAGGAATTTTTATCTTTATGAGAACAGCAATTAGATGCTGAAGAAATTTGTGTAGCCAAGGCGCGTAAGGAATTTCCAGCTCCAGAACAGCAACCCATTTGTATCACTTTCTTCAACTGTTCTAAAGTCTTAAGGCATACAACAACACAGCAGTCTTGATCACTTGCGCTACTCTGAGAATTGCAACCTGATTTGCAACACTTGCAATTAACTGGAATTCTATCACGAGTTTGAGTGTTATCACTATTATTGCTAGTATCATTAGAACTATCATTATTATTAATAATATCACTATCAGTCTTCTGACTTTGGGAATTGGTGTCAGAGTGCGTTCTAGCTATGCTAGACAATGCTCCCTCCTTTCCATTCCAGTTTGGGAGGGCGTCACTGGCAGGTTCATTACTCATGAACATTTTAGTTACTTCCTTCCCTTGAAGTAATGAATTAAATGGTGCTGTGGATTCAATATTATTTTGTTTTGAATTAATAGCTGTGTCAACAATTACAAAGGAGCTACAGTTTAAAGACTGATTATTGCTAGGTAATACATGTTTATCTATTAATTTGGTACTTCTATGAGCATCAGTGTGATTGTTTACAATGCAGTCTTTTCTAATGGAAGCCCAAGTTTCCCCTCCAGGTTCCAAGTTGTGACTAGCTTTGACAGGCAATTCTTCTTGTACACTATGTACATTTGCACTGCAGTTGTGACATTCTTGACCTGAAACTGAGCATTTGCAAGGATTACACCTACAAATCTCTGCATCTGCAGTGATGTCTTTCAGGACATTCCGGCTACTATGATTAAAAGGTACTCGAGTGATTTCTGAGACTAGAGCTCCAGACTTATTGACAGAATCTGACTCGCATAACTGAGTAGGAGTACCAGATGATTCGTCTACATTACTAGCAGAATTAATTATCATACAGCCTGATTCATATGCAGATGTATTAGATGTATTAACTAAGGCACTACACTCCATTACATCAATCCACTGATTTGGCAGTTCTTCTTGCATATCTGAATTGCCAACAGTAAGAGTCTTGGGCTGAAAGGGAAGATTTGTGATTGCAGTACTCACAACTGTGCCCTTTTCTGATGATATATTTATTGGCGAATTGCCTTTAACACAATGTTCTTCAGATTTTGAAATAAAAGAATTTAGCATCACCATTAAATCCTGAGGCGTCTGCGAAGTGTTGTTATTTTCCACTGTTAATGAGCTACTACACTGAGCTGTATCTGAACTCTTCTTTGGTAACATTGGTCCTGACAAATGTATATCTTGAATTTGCCCAGAAGCTGACAACATTTTTATTATATCAATTGCAGTTTTTCCTGATGCTTCAAACACACTCTGGGATGGATCGTTATCATCTGAGGAAGCAGTCAACTGTATTTCTTGAATTTGTCCATTTGCTGATAAAAGGCTTAAAATATTTGCCACATTTCTGTTTGTTACAATATGACTTTCTTCTGAAATTGTATTTGAAGAATTGTTGGTATTGACAGAATCTTTATGAACAGCTACTTCTAAATCAGGTAAAATCATCTCAGAAACCTCTGGCTTACTACTGTCACTAATTGGAACAGAAGGCATTAGAGTTATTGCTCCAATTTCTTCTCTGTTGCCAGTATGGCTTTTAGCAGGTAAAGTGAAGGACGAAGCAGTGCAGGCATCATTTGTTGCAGGGAACTCTATATTTTGAACTTCACCAGTCACCGGAGAAAAACTTATCACAGTATGAAGACTCTGTGACTGGGGATCAGTTTCTGTAGATGAATTTGGAAAAAGGCTTGTAAATATGCCTTCAACCTCCATTGTATCTCTACCATTATTGATAGCTTGCATATTATTATCCGTAAAAGGAATGATGAATGCTGCAAATGAAAAATAATATATTGAAAACAAAACATCAATTTTGGAAAGTACACAATTATTTGTTCAAACATAAAGAAAGGACTCAAATGAATAAAAAAAATGTGATTTATAACAATTCATGAAGAGAGTTCACCATAAACACTTAGTTTTGCATTTCTTCAACATTGAAAAATATTTTTTCCAGGTTGCTTACCTGTTTCTAATAAATTACACAAACCACAACCAAATAAATTTTTAAAAAAAGAGCTAATTACAAGCTTAAAATATTCACAAAACTTTACCTGAAACATTGTTATCCCCCGTCATAGAGTCACTGTCTTCCACATTACTCAACTGGCCGATATTACTACACTTCATGTCATCATTATCTGGATCATCAGACGTATCATCCATGTCATCACCCGTTTCATTCTTAATGAAAAGAACGAATAAAATGACATTACTACAACTAAATCCATAATGAATACATAAAAGCAAGAAATAATTGATCCAGAGAACTTACATTAACATCATTCTTAGAATCACTAGCTTGTTCATGTCGCCGTGTATGTGATTTCAAACTGTGAGATGTTGAAAAGGAGCGAAGACAATCTGTCTTTAAACAGGAATATGGTCTTTCACCTGTATGAATTCGATTGTGTGTCTTTAAGTGATGACTGGCAGTAAAAGCTTTCCCACAGCCTTCTTCTTGGCACCTAAATAATAAAATAGATCAACGATGTTTTCAGGGTTGAAACCTTGGACACCTCTTTCATGAATTTCCCAGTACTTACTTGTAAGGCCTCTCTTGTGTGTGAGTCCGCACATGTTTCTTGAGATCATGAAGAGTAGTAAAAAACTTAAGACATCCTTGGCTTTCACAATTAAAAGTATTACCTGTATGTAACCGCTGGTGTGCACGTAGTCTGAAAAAATTAATTTCATTCAACGAGAAGATATCATTTTATACTAATATTTTACTGGCAGAACAATACAAACAAAAACCTTACCTATAAAGTGTATTGAAAGCTTTTTCACATCCCTCATGGTTGCATTCAAATGGTTTTACTTTAGTGTGAACACGTATGTGGATTTTTAAGCTGTAAGATGTCAGAAATGCTTTGCCACATCCTGGTTCTGAACATTTGAACCTGAACTCACCTACAAAAAACCAGACTTTTCATAACCCTACATAATAATCATAATTAATTCACTCTACCAAGATCTAGTTGAATTACCTCTGTGAGTTTTCATGTGAGTGCGAAGGTTTCCAACAGTACTGTAAGTACGACTGCATCCATCATATTCACAGGTATACCTTTTAATTTCTTTTCTGTTTGTAGCTGGGTCCGTTGTTTCAATCGTGATAGTCGCATGGGAGGGATTTTCAGGCATGAGATCATTATTTCCTGGATTGATGTGCATGTATATTTGGTCTGAACTGATGGTATGGTGAATGTACCTGTACATTAAAAAAATATAAACTTAATAATAATGACAATTATCGCTTGGCTGTTATAATACATTACACTGATCGAGTCATTCAATTTACCCTGCATTTTCGTCATGTCCTTCGAGTTTTCCAATGTAATTGGATGTTTCAGGCTTATTTTCCTCCGAGAGTTTCGAAGTTGTATACACTGGTTCCTGTTCGAAAACTTTTCCCAAAGCAGGTAGATCGAAATTATCGATACAATCTTGTAAATCATCAGTCAAAAATATGCTGTCAAACGTGTCACTTCTATCACCATCATCATCGAGTTGAAACTTTTCCACAGGCCACGCCGCCATGTTCTTGGATGACTAATTTTGACTAGTTCACTAAGTAAATATTGACTTTTATGTTTGCCAATAACCAACAACTTTAGACTAATTTTAATTAATATTCTATTATTTGCGAAACATATGTATACTATGCTACTATATATTGATATTTAAAAGATAATCAAATAGTAAAACATTATCGTAGTGTGGCGATCGCCTGGCTGATTTCATTTGTTCATCTTTTAGTAGTTCCTGCGTCTTTCACGGCAGGAGTGCGCTGACTAGGTGCGCGTTCGTTTCGTACTTTAGTGAAAATTTTGTGGGAAGTTTCCGTGAATTGAGTGGTGTGTGGTTATATTCATGTATTAATGAGTGTACATTGTGAGTCGTATTTAATTCTCGTTTCATACTTTACGTTAAGTTGTTGAAAATATGAATTCGGAATCTAATAGCCGTGTGTTATGCCGACAGTCTACCACAGTGTTTTGTGTGTAGGTGTATTTGTTAACCATCAAAACGGTGTTGCTCGATGAGTGTGCCAGTTGATGAAAATTATTGTGATATGGTAAGTAGTTGAAAATATCTTCACTCTATTCTTTCAGTCATAATTTGAATATTTTGTCAAATTACCCTAACATCTATCAATGTCGTTACGGTTCAGTGTCCTGTCAGTGCTGCATGCTGCAGGTCCCTATCGTGTTTTTGGTCTTGGTACGTGCTGTAGGCATGAATCAAACGCGTAAATGTCCAAAATCTTCAAAACAATTAATTACTAAACGTTAATTCAGAATTCATTTTCTAAAGTTTGCTCTTTAAGTTGGTATTAATAATTATATTATCTAAAAACCAGCCAATTATTAGTACATATTTTTTCTAATCATTTATTAACAATTTTTATATCATTTTCAGTTGTAGTGGCTGTGAGTGATACCAGTTGATGTAAACATTTTAATTAAATGTTGTAGCCAAAGTGAGGGAAAATGTCAAGACAAGAGAAAGGAAAATCTGGGTTTGTAAGTAGTAAAATGAATTATTATATTTCTAATAAGTTCCTAAAACATCATGATTCATTAGTGGAGATGAGCATTGTTTAAAGAGTCGCTTGTCATCATTGTATTTATTTTGTTCATTTTATCACGAAATCAGTGTTATTGTTTAACATTGTATTTAACTGTGTCCATTTTTATTTTAATTTCTTTGGAATGTGTTCTACACATAATATTTGCCTTAAATCTTTAATTTTGGTGCTTCCGAGATCGATGAAAACTGTTCGATAAGAGAAGCATTATCTAGATAAGCGGTAACGACACAAATCCTCGCCGATAAGATTGACGAGGTGGAGTGTGGAAGGGAATGGGACTGGACAAGCTGGCGGGGGTGAGCCCCAGCCCGCCACGTGCGTGACAGCTGGCGTGCCCGCGCCGCGCCTGATCCTCTCCGAAATAGCCCTCCCGAGCACATACGCTCCGCCTCTGTCACTTGTCCAGATGTCACCACGGTGCATCTGAGTTGTGCCCAAATCTCTTGGGCAAGTACTTTTGGCATAAGTTCATGTCTCGCGATATACCAGTGTATATGCGTAATGGTTTGAGTAAAATAATTTTAATGCGGTAACTCTCGACAGCGAATTGTTTATAAACACGTTTACGCTGTTATGGATTTTTTATTGATTTGAAGGGAAAATATAATTTGAACAACTGGACAATGCAGCTTCGTATTCAGATTGTTACTGGGCAATTGACAGAGAGCGGTGTAGAGGGGGAAAGCACACGTTTAAATGAATACGTTTTCTGTCATGTGTGCCTGTTACGACGCAATTTCATGGAAAACCATCTCATTTCAGATAGGTGTAAAGTCTTCTTTCTACGTGCAGGGAGGAGAAATCGAAATTTGGTAGGCCTTCTCTGACAATGCTTTTCTTCCTTGGTTTATCGTTTTGAAAAACGCGCTCACGTATTCACATCCGTGAAAAACGCATTCACTCACTATCATCGTGTTTCATCGTCCCCTTCCTCCTTCACCGTAGCGCCAGTAATAACAGGATCATTCTTCTTAATTTTAAAATAAATTCAGAAACTATATACGACGTCCATACTACAGCGCTTTCGGGGTTATTCGATATCCCAGTAACACATTTCATTTCTGGCTAAAGAGCAGGTTACAGAGATACTTCCATTCACCTCTTACCATTTTTGAAGTCTGTTTCATAATTTTTTCCATCAGTATTTTTTTTCCAATCGTCGGAATCTTACGTGTTTATATTTAGTTCCTTTGTTTTCTATTTCATGTCAAAATCTATATTTAATCGTTAACAATTAATGTTAATTCACATGCGTTCTTGTTCTTGTACATTCCACTTACATCTGATACGTCTGTATTCCTTGCCCGTACAACCGATCCTCCGCAGGCAGGCAATCCTGGTGAAACTGTGCACGAACCCAAAGAGTAGGCGTGACCTTTTTGCCTGAAAGCAGCTCTGATCCTCCGTTTCATTCCGACCCGCCGACTATGCTAGGGAAAGCTGATGTTCTCCACGGAGAGTACAGCATCGCGCCTCTGAACTCCACATTATCTCTGAATCATTCAACTGGTCGCCGATTTTGTATATTGTGTGCGACATGTTCGTGGTATACAAACATTGCGCCTCCCCCCTCCAAAAAAATATTATTGTGGGAGCTATGTTTCGGTATCGGCTCCTTGAAATCCACACATTCTTGGAGCCAAATATATTTATGAATATACATACGGACCTACCAGTATAATATGTTTGACGTAAATGTGTATTATTTTATTTTGCTTAGTTTTGTTGATGGAGAGCTCAATGCCACCACCATCATTAGGTATTGATTTATTTCCACGTGGTTTTGTAACCTCTACTTTATCTATGGTGTTGATGTGGATAAAATCGTATAATTCGGATTTATTTCGGAAACTGACCGTCCGGTATTCTTCATTAATATTTTTATTTTATATTACTGTTTAAGACTATTGATTGATGGCCCTCCTGCCGAATGTATTTGTCTGGTGTGGGTGAGTGAAAACCGAATTTCTTCAGAATTTATTGGACTTGTTTGCTCCTGCTCGACGTATTCCCTTTCAGGGGGGTTAGCATTTTATTAATTACTAATGTTGTGGACCATTCTCGAACACAATTACTAGGTTACCGTTTCCAATAATAAATGTCCAATTAAACCCTTCGGAGAGTCTTCATAAAGTTTAAAACTGATTTTGATTTACGATTACAATGTCGAAATTTTGGATATTATGCTAGTACATATAAATTGTCAGGTTGCAGTATTGATGACTGAAAATCCTGAAATTATAATATTTGTATTTATAAGAAAAGTATGAAGTTGTGGTTGATTCAAATTAAAGGAGTGTAAAGATAATATTCGTATGATATTGTAGAAGTTTCTCGTTCGAATTCTGTTTTTTGGAGATACCAAGATATGTACCTTCCGCTGCATTATTTTTAAATCTTGTGGAAACACTAAACGCTATTTGAATGAACCAGTATTCTCTTCATTCTTGCCAGAAGATCTTTGTTCCCTGATCATATTCGCATTTAAAAATTATTATACCATGTAGCTTATAATAACAGTGAAGATAAGCAAAAGTAATGCATACATCGAGGTGACAAAAGTCATGGAATACCTCCTAATATTGTGTTGGAACTTCTTTTGCCTGGCGAAGTGCAGCAACTGTACATGTCTTGGACTCAAATGTTTGGAAGCCCCGTGCAGAAATATTGAGACATGCTGCCTGTATAGCTGTCCAGAATTGCGAAAGTGTTGCCGGTGGACGAACTGGCCACTCGATTGTTTCATAAATGTTCGATAGAATTCATGTCGGGAGATCATTAGCTCGAATTGTCCAGAATGTTCTTCAAACCAATCGAAAACAATTGTGGCCCGGTGACTTGGTGCAATGTCATTCATAAAAAATCCGCCGTTGATTGGGGACATAAGTCCATGAATGGCTACAAATGGTCTCAAAGTAGCTGAATATATCCATTTCCAGGCAATGATCAGTTCAGTTGGACCATAGGGGCCTGTCTATTCAATGTAAAAAAATGCCCACACCATTGTGAAGACAAGGCACAGTTGCACAGTGCCTTGGTGGCAACTTAGTTCGGTGGATTCGTAAGGTCTGCGCCGCACTGGAATTGTACCATCAGCTCTTACCAACTGAATTCGGAACTCATCTGACCAAGTCGTCTAGGGTCCACTCGATATGGTCACGAGGAGAGGCGAGGCGAGGATGTGGTGCTATTAGCAAAGGCACTAGAGTCGATCTTCTGCTGTCATTGCCCATGAAAGCCAAATTTCATCGCACTGGCCTAACGGATACGTTTGCCGTACGTCCTAAATTGATTTCTGCGTTTATTTCACGCAGCGTTACTTGTCAGTTAGTACTGATAACTCTACGTAAACGCCGTTTCTCTCGGTCATTAAATGAAAGCCAGAGGCATTGCGTTGTCCGTGTTGAGAGGTTTTGCCTGAAATGAGGTATTCTGGGCACCTTCTTGACAATGCAGATGTGTAAAGATGCAGATACTGAATATTGAATTCCCCAACGATTTCCGAAATGCAAAGTCCCATGCGTCTAGCTCTAACTACCATTCCACGTTCAAAGTCCGTTAATTTCCGTTGTGCGGTCATAATCACGTCAGAAACCTTTTCATATGAAACACTTGAGTGCCAATAAAAGCTCTGCCAATGCACTGCTGTTTTATTTCTTTTGTACGCGATACTGCCATCTGTATATTTACATATTGTTATTCACGACTTTAGTCACCTCAGTGTTCAATATCTTCTGTTGGATTGGGTATCAGAAGAATGAAATGATCTCCTGGTGGAAGTCAGAATTAAAGCTGGGATGGTACAGTTTCCAATGTACATGACACGTATTCATGTCAATCTTGTAAAATTCTGGTTTTGTAAAAGCTATTCATGCTCTGCATTGGGATTTCGCAGCAGTGATTTACAGGTGAGCTTCCTGGTTTCTTCGTAACGCTTAGGTTGGCAATATCATGTATTCCTTGTCTCAACTTAGACGAATTAAAAATTTACATTGCTATTTTTACATTATTGTATAGTGGGGATGGACATAACTTCACAAACTAACAAGAAGGCACCCTATAGTTTGAAACGAACCATTTACTAGACAAGGATTTGCTCGATCCGTATCTTCCGCAACCCTGATCGCCGTATGAGGTAAACGACTTTTATTATAAAATACACGAGGATTGTTCATTGATCTACGCGTGATTGAATATCAAATTTTCTGCCTGTCTCTCTAACCGTCGGTGTCCATCTGTGCTTTTGGTTGTCTGTCCGTCTATATGCCTATCTTTCAGTTCGTGTGTCTATGAACGACACTAGCGCCTAAACTGTTCACAGGATTGTCACCAAAATGGAATATCTCCGATTGATCTGGGTGATGTCATCCTTACAGTCATCCCAATTTTCGAGTACAAAATTGCGTGATCTCCTCGCCACGAATCTTGACCATCTTTGGAGTAGCACTCTGCGACCTTAATCTTGGAATGTCTGCGAAGTTACAGCCCAAAAGATCCCTAAAGACGTATTTTAAGACTGAAAGTACGAGATCGAAATGTTGAGGCAATTTCAATTCTTTTTCTCCCATATATATATATATAAAGGTAGTGTACAGGAAGTAAAAGTACGTAAAATAAATTTCTGGAACACGCCTCTAAATTTTTAATTAAAATGTTTTCCTCAAATACAGCGAAGTTCGCTTGATGGTATGGCATCAGTCCGATTTTCATTAAAATCTCTGGAATTTCGAAAATGTATTAGATCAGCGTTTTTAAGCGTGACATATTTAGTCAGTCATTACCTTCAGTATTTAGGCTAGAGATTTATTTCTTAATCCATTCTATTCCTTAATCCTATATATTTTTAAATTTTTTCATGTACACTCATTCTACAAAATATTGGGAGTGTTCGCATTTTTTTTTTTATTTTAACTAAACTTTACGAACCCATCA